CCACAAGATATCCCCCCCTCCCCTCCCCTTCCCACCATCATGCAGACTTCCAACACCCGTTCCAAGCCTTGCCACAAGATATCACCCCCTCCCCTCCCCTTCCCACCATCATGCAGTAAGGGTGTAACGATTAACCGCAATTCAACTGTATCGCAGTACATCTTGTTCGGTTCGGTTTTCGATTGTTGTTTTTTCGTGTCGGTTCTCGGTTCGGTTCCGGGAAATACATTCAAGTTGAATAGTATTATGACTATTATCCTTGAACTGTATTACTTTATTGTCTTTTGGCAAATGAATAACACAATAAATGTATAATATTATGATAGGTATTATTATTATTATTATTCAAAATGGAGGGAAAATTTCCCCATCTTCTCAGCATTTTAAATTGTTTACTACTGAAAACTAGAAAGGGCAGTTGTCGCCAACTACATGTATCCCCCGTGTTCTCCCCAAGATGTGTAAGTATACAAAGTTTGGTCATGCTAGGTCAATTAGGGGCCGAGTTACAGAGCGGAAAAGAAATATGATGAAGGTCAATGTCAAGGTCAACGTCAACGTCAAATAAAGGTTGCAGTGACCTGGTTTCGGTACGCGACACACCATCTCCCCAAGATGTGTAAGTATACCAAGTTTGGTCACGCTAGGTCAATTAGGGGCCGAGTGATAGAGCGGAATGAACCGACCCAAAGAGAAAAAACCAAAAACCGAACCGAAACAAAATGTATCGTTACACCCCTACCATGCAGCCTCCCTCCCAGCAGCCTCACCTCTGTACTTAGTGTCGGCGAAGAGATGCTCTGCCTCACCGCCTTGCTGATGTCGCTCCGGATGCTGTTTGGCTTCGGCTTCCCGTTGCGATCCGCATCGGCCGGCTTCGCGATGCTAGTTCCGTAGATTTCCGTGAAGACGGGCGCTTCCGACGCGTCGCTCTGCAGGCGGCGCCACCGCTCTTCGTCGCTCCTGCTGCCAATGTCGATCTCCAGCTTCACGAGGTTTTCGGACGACGGCACTTTGCGGCGCTTGGTGGAGCCCACGAGGGCCAGCGTGGGCTTCATGGGTATCTTCTCATTCTCTATAGAGACACAGCCGCATAGTACAATCTAACTAGGTTATCAGCAGTGGAGCAATTCTTATGTTAATCTTATCAGGGGTAGATAATGACAAAATGGGAATTATCTAAATTATCTACCCCTGATCTTATATTTTTCGTAACGAATGCTGGCTCGGGGGCGACGGAATTATTTTGCATCATAAATGAATCATAATTGATCAACTGCAATCGTAAATTCAGCGTGGGTTTCGTTACCCGAGCTCTTGCTTGTATCGGACTTGTTGTCGGTCGATGCGAAAGGAAATTTTGGCTCTCCGTTTGCACTCTTCATGATCTGCTGTCCTGGATCGGAAGGGCTCCGGGGCTTTGCAACTGTTAACAGGATACACTATCAAGGTTGTGCACAGCGTTTGAAATTAGTGCCGACCCGGAGGCCCGAGCCCGAGGCCACCAAGTTTTTGCTTCGGCCACCTTCTCTATGAAACTGCCGGTCCTCCTGACCGGCACTTTTTCCCCTCATATTGCGCTGAAATACTACGGAATTACCTTAACGGCAGTTTAGACAGACTTGTAAACGGGAGCGCATTCTGTTCCTGAACGTAGACGGGGTATCCAAAACACATAGAGCCGAGGGCATTGAACTCACTCAACGCATGATTCGCCACACGAACAAAACCTCGTGACAGTCTAATAAATCGATTGCGGCGTGTAGCGTAGCCCAGTGTTTTTGTGACCGCATAACAATGTTCATATGTCGCAGGGGTTATCGTGGGGAGTGAGGGCACGACCAGTGACACCTGACACGCACGTAATCAAAGCTGAATTCGGCACTTTTCTTTGCGTAGAAAGTGGACTATTTTTATTCCGTTAGATATCTAGAAGCAATGTAAACTGTATATACTTCAAGATTTTAGGCACTGTGCCTTTGGCTCATAAAATTTTATGTCCCCCAGGGTACTGCCGGAACGTACCCTGGGTACGGTCCGGTATACCGGAACGTACCCTGGTAACTATTTGATATGGCTAGGGTTAGGGTTAGGGTTAGGGAGTAGGCGTAGGCGACT